CTTTTAGTTCTGGGCCTAGAAGCAGTAGCGTTGCAGTATCGTTGAAGGTGTCTTGTCAACAAACAAACCAAAATAACCCCGTTTGGGGTCACCCACGCGCCTGTACTTATAAGAACTTGAGAAGCTCGCTTTAGCAGATAACTGCCAAAGGACGACTTGCTCCCCAACATTGTCGATGCACACCTCGATTTAGGGCTCGCTACAAGCCTACGATAATCACCCGGTCCCTACTTTACTGGTTGCCGTCTCTAATATACCCCCGTTCTTCCCTCTTGCTTTCGAAGTTCGAGGTTTTTGCGATGATTTAGAGCCGGTGAAGGTCGTAGCGTCAGTGCGATGTGGATGATAGGATGGGAAATCTCGAAGTATATGTCCTCCTTCTCTTCATTTGTTGGCTGTAAAGCTAACTTGTTGTGTGCCTCTAGGTTTTCCCTTGTTATTCGTGCTCAGATTAGTATTGGACGTCCATGAACAGTCACAAGCCCTCGGCCGAGAACCTTGGATCATGCATGAAACAAGGACATCCCGCTTTCGATCTTAACTCATCATCCAGCCTTCAATACTTTAAGTACCATCATCCTTGCGCTCCCCAACTTGCCATCCCTTTTATCGGAACCATATAGTGAGAGGGCCAAGCGGTCTGAGGCACCGACCTAGTATGTTTCGTTGTCTGGTCTATTCGGCCTCTTACGACGTGTAGATGTTCCACAAGTCTACCGAATGCCCTCCATTGCGCTTCAAAGTGACAACGCTGCCCGAAATGCCTCAGCCGACTTCGTAGCCAACGGTGAGATGGCCGAGCGGTCTAAGGCGCCAGACTAAGGAGACCAGGACAGTTCCTGTCCCAATTATCTGGTCACATTGTGGCGGGGGTTCGAATCCCCCTCTCATCAGTTTGTCCCATTGATGTCCTTTTCCCGATCTAAAAGGCTCTCCAAGTCTCTACCATTTTCGAAACATCAACCAAGGCTTTGCATTGCGCCGATTGCTGACCCGATTCATGGGCCAAGCGCGACTACTTTGTTTCCCAGGCCCTAAGCGCTAAGGCCATCAATATGCTCGACCTGACTCGCTGACACAGAAGCTGGCATCCCCCCCCCTAGTCGTCGTCGTCGTCCTCGTTGTTGTTGTTGTAGTTGTCATTTTTTGTTGTTGTTGTATTTGTATCTCAATGTCATCCGCTTTGTGTTGGACCACCGCTCATCGTCGCTCAACTCAGTACAAGCGTATCGTGGTTCAGGTGGGTCATGTAAAAGTTAAAAGGTAGGCGGCGACGGAATAACTTTTTTTTTTTTGGACCACCTCATGTTACGTTTGAGGACAGATATATTGTTGAAGGAATGTATACCATGCATGGATATATACTACGTAGCTGAGCGAAGCACCTCCTACATAACAAAGTTGAGTAATAGAGAAGGACATTTGTAGAAGTTGTGGATTACCTTCATTCATTGTGAGAGAACACCCGTTCGCTCTCGGCACCAGGCGCTTTCCCTGAAGTATGGATCACAGATAAAGGGAATGGATCTGGTCCAGAAGTCGGAAGCAGGGGACAGGTCGGGAGTAGAGAAATCGTTCTGAATCTCCATTCCTATGAACTCGAACCACTCTGGGTGGTACGCTGCACAGGTCCAGTCAATGATCCAAACCCGACCGTCATCAC